CCTATTTCGTTAACAGCCTAATCAGGACCCTGCAAAGTGCAAAATGACTTTCTTGGAATGGCTTTATGTCTTGAGAAGGCCCTTTGTGTAATACAAGTATTAACTTGTTGCTATGACTAATGGATTAATCCAAAATACGTAACTTAACCCGGAGCAGTTTGTTTCAACGGGAAATGAGGAAAGTTGTATTCTGCCGTGGCCCGTGGATGAGTTGGCGTGCAAGCCAGAAAGTACCAGAAGATCAAGATACACAGGGTTCCTTCGCCGCCGCCAGCTGCGCCTCGTCGTCAGAGGGTTCCCGTTCCTGCTCCCTCTGCCGCCGCCCCTCTCCGCGCTTCGTTGGCGGCGGCCTCACCGCCGGGTGGCGACGGGCACGACAAACCGAGGCCCCTCTTTCCACCACCCAAGTTCCCTTTCCTCTCTCTCTGCGGAAGCTGTCGGTGCTGCCCTCTGCTGGTACAGGTGTCTCAGATCCACCCGACCGGACCTGGATCGATATCTCCGTTTGTTGGTGAGCAATCCTGACCTCTTCGGGTGAACAGCTCTGCGATCTCGTTTTTGTTCCTCGTGGGATCTTCCATTTTCTTTTACTGTGATAGCAAGCAATGAAAAATCCGAACTTTGGAGGGTGCTGGTCAAGCCTACTCTAATTCATCCATCCATGATTGCATCGCGCAGGGTCAACAAATTCTGGGGTTCAGCTAAACCCACAATCCGTGCCTAACGGCCAGTCTGGTCCTGCAAGGTTTCTCTAGGATTTTTGCGCAATAACAGCCATGTGGAGGCTCAAGCAGTTCATCCCCAAGGAGCAGCCCAGTGGCCTGGAGGGTCGGACCGTCGATGTCGGCAATGTCAAGGTGCACGTCCGGGAGGCCATTGCCGAGGGTGGGTTCTCATCCGTCTATGCTGCCCGAGACCTGGTCAACCCAGCGAAGCAGTACGCCCTCAAGCACGTGATCGTCCAGGACGAGGAGTCGCTGGGCCTGGTCCGGAAGGAGATCACGGTGATGCGGTCGCTCAAGGGACACCCAAATGTGGTCGCGCTGGTTGCACACGCCATACTGGACATGGGGCGCACGAGGGAGGCGCTGCTGCTCATGGAGTTCTGCGAGAAGTCTCTGGTTTCTGCGTTGGAGGGCAGAGGAGCGGGCTACTTTGATGAGGAGAAGGTGGCGCTCATCTTCCGGGATGTTTGCAATGCTGTCTTTGCGATGCATTGCCAGACACCGCCTCTTGCTCACAGGTGAGTCCACCACTTTCCAGCCTGTGGATTGATTGGAGCCACACTGCACAATGTTTCCACCAAGCAGTACTCATGTAGTTGATGCTTTTGTGGTTGCCTTTCCATGAAATAGTTGAGCAGCATTAATCTACCTATATCTGATGTGAAACCAAAATAGATGCAAGTTGGTCTTATGTACCTTGAAAATAAACTACATCTATGTCACAGACTCACAGCAATGTTATACTGGATCAAGTAACAAAGTCCCAAACTTGCAAGTTCAATCAAGTAACAATGGAAAAGCATGTTGAATCAACTTATTTTTGCTCTATAGATGGCATCTTAGCTTGCAAGCTAGATGTTGACGCATGTTACTTTTCACATTCATGGGTGGTGTCCTTGGTAGCTTTCCTTAAGGCATTCAGGACTATCGTTGTTCAGTTGTAGCCTGCAACAGATAATTCTGTGTGTTTTATTGGTTTTTTTATCCATATTGTACTGTTTGAGTGAAGTTGTATCCTCAGGAAACTGCTATGCCAAGTTTTATTTCAGATCTCTATGATGGAAAATATAATTCATTTGCATTTGCAGGGACCTAAAGGCAGAAAATATTCTTCTTGCTGCTGATGGGGCATGGAAACTATGCGATTTTGGTAGTGTGTCGACAAATCATAAGTGCTTTGATAAACCTGAGGAGATGGGCATTGAAGAAGATAACATCAGGAAGCACACCACTCCTGCATATAGAGCTCCTGAGGTTTATATTGAAAATTTCAAGTTTGGGCCCTTTCTCAGTCTGTTCTACATATTTATTTACTACTGTATGCTTGTTTACTGATTGCAGATGTGGGACTTGTACAGGAGGGAGGTTATCAGTGAGAAAGTAGATATCTGGGTAAACCACCTCTGCAGCTATCATCTTGCATTCTGGTTTTATGCAAATGTTGCCTATCATATTATATTATTGAATTGCAATTGTTTTTTTTCTTTGTACCTGATCAATTACTAATTAATAGTGCCATGAGTTGAACGTTAGTGTTTGTGGTTTTTTACAGGCTCTTGGGTGTCTCTTGTATAGAATCTGCTACTTCAAATCAGCATTTGATGGAGAATCAAAGCTTCAAATACTTAACGGGAACTATCGTATCCCAGAATTGCCGAAGTACAGTTCTTCTATTACAACACTTATCAAAGACATGCTTAATTCTTCTCCAGATGCCAGACCAGACATCACACAGGCAAGGGCTTTGCTTGATTGGCCATTCACTTCCATGAATTTAGGTTGGTCTTAATTAGTGCTTACACCATGAGGCCAACACATAAAAGGTCTTCCGTTTCAGTGTTGTTGATAAATGTTCTGTTTTAGGTGTGGTTCCGGGTTAATGAGTTACTTCCATTGGAGCTGCAAAAGGATTTACCTGATGGATCTCCATCTGGATCAGCATTTGAATCTCAGACTGCCATTGATGAAGGTTTGCGCTGTTATTTTTTTGGTAGATTTATCTAGATAAATATTAGGAAGTGTAGGAAATGCTATTGCGTGAAATCTCATATATATACTTTTTTGTGAATAGAAAACCGTCTCTTTTGTTAATCGCTCATCTTGGTTTTGTTAATTGCTCATATTTTTTCTCTGCATGTTAAATTTTCCTTTGCCTGAATATAATTCTTCTTGCTTGTTCAATAACCTAAATTATTTCTCGCAGCATCAACGAGACCACAGCAAATTAGTGCCTCTTCATCATCAAGAGACAATATGAGGAGTACCTCTCTTAGTGATTCTTCCAACGTGATGGCACAAGGTCCTCTGAAAGCTATGGACAACAGGGGTTCTATGGGTGCATTTTGGTCAACTCAACATGCTCAGGAGCTATCTTTTGCTTATGACAAGGAGCCAGCTTTTGATGAAGAGCCTGTTAATCAAGTCACATCAAAGCAATCACTGGCTAAGAACCAGAACACACCAGCTCGCAATTCATCTCGGAAGTCTCTGTCTGCATCAGTTGATAGTTCACCTGGGGATTTTGAAATTAGGCTTTCTGCAAATGGCTCAGAGTCTGGGCTGGAGAAAACCAAAACAGCAATAATAGAGAATAAAACAAAGATACAAACTACTGCCTTCAACTCCTTCGTGGCAGACTTCGATGATATCAAAATGAACTCACAAAACAGTACTGACAATGTAAACATGACTAGCAAATTGAAAGAACATCAATTGGAAGCAGAAGTAACTTTACTCAAGGAACAATTAAAGATAGCAAACCTGGAGAAGGAAGAAATTTCGTTGAAGTTTGATAAGTTATCTGCGATTTGCTCCTCTCAGAGGCAAGAGATACAAGAGCTTAAGCAAGCCTTAGCTGCAGCTTCTGTTACACCACCAGCTAAACAGTTCAGAGAAAATTCAAAAGTTGAACTCACCCCACCCAGCAAAAGCCTCGATACTCCGGTATGAATACTGCTATGCCCTTAAATTTCCCTCTAGCCAGATATACCCAGTTTCAAGTTTCCACTTGGTCCAGATAACTGGCCAATGGGTGAAATCATTGAAGATAGAATTAGAAGTGGTTAGCTTGGCCAATTCTCAAAGTGTTTAGACTCAGTGATGGTGTGTGAAAGTTGGTGGGCCAATCCTGAACCTCTATTCGTTCTTGTCAATGGATAGGATTAGCCCATCCTTTACCCCATCCTACCTCGCATATTCCTAAATCTAATATCCTGTGAGGTCTAACTTAGCATGGCCTAGCCACTTTTCCTATTTGACATTACTGTTGACTAATTTCTATCTAGATAGCCTAAATACCCTGAATGTAATATTTCATCTTGATATATATCAGGAGGCTGATATATTAATTTACTGGTTTTCACAGCCGAGGGAGAAGATTGAAGGAACCCCTCCAGAGCTCCGGCAAGGCCTATTTACTTCAAGCCCGGGAACACCAAGCCCTGATCTGAAAACATGGTCAGCTTTCCCTGAAGAGCCAAAAGCTCAAGCAGCTGTGAAGAGTGTCCACCCCAGGTCAGTCCGAACTCTGCGCGCATCAAACAGCAACAAAGCCAGCTCGCTTGGACAGTCAAATATAAGTTCTAGCACCGATCCATTTGCCTTTGGTCAAGATAGCTTTAAGGCTGCTCCTTCTGGAACTGCACTTCCCCAGTTATCAAACATGGGGAATACTTCTCAGTTCAATAGTCTGATTGTAGAAGAAAAGAAAGATGGACCCTACCAACCAGCTGGATGGACTGGGTTTTGATTGTGCTGTAGCAATTTATGGTGATACTTGTGCTATAGCAATTTACGGTGATACTATGTATGCCAAAAGAGTCGAGTACATATGGTCTTGGTGGTGTGGCATACTGAAGATGCAGAGAGGAATGCCTGAACTGATTTAGGTATGTGTGGCAACACTTTTGTACAATTGTTCTGGTGCTGAGCTAGCATCATAATGCATCTGAGTTGTAACTTTAGTGCAAATGTAAGTTGCAACTTGCAAATAATTGCTAGATATTAGAAATAGGAAGATGTTTTTTTCCTTCTGTAGACAAGCTTGTGGTGTCATGTCAATAAACAATGAATTTTGGACACATGCTATATAGATATAGCCATCTATTACCATTTCATGAATAAAAGGTTACCATTTAGTGGTAAATAGCTAATACACTCACTTTAATGCTAGTTATTCATGTTGAGTCAGACGAACACAAATCTTTATTAATTCATTGTGATACATTTAGATTTGATTTGTTTCTATGATTTAACATGTGGCTGTGAGGATCTCTTCTATTTTGGTGTCAACACATACATCTTGCAAGCATGAGAATCCACTGTTTCCTCCAGTTCTCCTCGCACAGCTGATATAATCTTATCCTTCAAAACAAACAAAATCACAAACACAGGAATAAGTTAGCTGCAATATGAAATATAGAGAAAATATGCTCCCTGTTCTCAGAATCAATCTTTAATGTAAGTTTCTCTTATAGTATTTATCATTCGTTATACAATCTTAATCATTAGCAAGTGGTTGAAATACAAATCCACAGTTATATAACTTTTATAGCACGTAATTCACATATTTTTGGACTCATCGTTAGTCAAAGCATGAATTTGTAGTCATACTGCACCTTACAAAAACAAATGGGAGGGTATGGTTTTAGGACTTGTCTATGATAGATAAAATGCATCCTTACTGTCCACAGATCATGAGCATCAACAACGGTAGATGCGTTAAGTCCAATGCTCCACCAGCTGGCAGTAATGGATGCTTGAGCAGACCCTCTGTTCCATAGAACAACTGCAAATCTCCCTCCAGTCAAGGGACCAGCCCATACCTAACCACAAGGTTATGTTATATAAACAAGTGCTAAATATCATAGCTTTTGCGTTCTTGTATAGTTTATCTTACTTCTTGGTCTCCATCTTGTTGCACTTTGTGCCCTTGTACTCCAAGCCCATCTGCTCATGAATCATTTTAGTTTAGTATAATATCATTTCTAACTTGGAGAAACTAAGGAATGATCGGTGTACTTTCTTCACCTTGGTTAACTGCAATAACATTTCGATTGCTGAGGATTTCCTTGGTTTTGTTGCTCATTGAGCGGATGTCACAACCAATCAAGAGAGGTGCCTGCATCAAGCTAAGTCAGCAGCATGGTCTTATAAATGAGCAAAAATATGCCCAGATTGTTGAATTATACTTTAGTGATATTTTTTCATCTCTAATGCTAAGACCCAAATTAAGCATCTTATTACCTTCATTAAGGCCCATATGCTGAAATGGGAGCGGTACTCTTCTGTTGTCATCCCCCCATTTCCAACTTCCAGCATGTCTGGGTCTGAAAGCAGAGACAGCAGTTCATTCAAGACTAAAGAGAAAGTGCTGGAAATGTTTAGAGACATGTAGGACTAACCATTCCATCCACCGGGCCGTGCATATGATGCCCACTTGTCGTTCTTATCGGCGATGGCTGTCATGCTGAAACATTACATTTACAGGGCAACAAGTTGTATCAGGCATATTTTGCCAGGACAATGAATCCTGTCAGGATGTGACTTGTGACTGAACTTTACCTTGCCCAAGTGTCCTTGATGTCACCAGTTGTTCTCCAACTGTTTCCTACACCACCTGCCCATGTTGCTGGATCATCCACACCCCTAGTGAACAATATTATTTTTAGTACAGAAGGATTGAATCTAAATCATCCATTTGAGTTGCTCAGAAGAATGAACAAGTACCATTCGCAGAGGGAGAAGAAAATATTCCTCCCAGAATTGAGGAGCGCTTTGCTCATTGCATCATATCTGCATATGGTCATGAGCAAATCAGTCTCCCAAGGTAGCATGAATGAGGGAAACTGTTGAGAGCTCTTGTGAGTGCTGATCACCTTGGCTGAGGGCTTATTCCCTGGTTGTTGCAGTTATCATACTTCAAGTAGTCGACTCCCTGTGATTTGAATCATCAGAAGCATGATTTCAGTATGCAAGCAGCAAAGAAAGGCATGATCTTGACATGACTTAAGTTTGGTTCTAATTGAGACATGATGGTACCCAAGATGCAAAAGTTTTCGCGTCTTGGTCTTCGTATCCAAGCGATCCAGGCATCAACTTGCCGCAAGTTCGTGTCCTGAGGGGAAATGGTTGGTGTGATTTTATAGAGGAAAACAATCCAAAGCATGAAATCCACTGAACCAAAGTGTACGAGTGTTTCTAGTTCTTCCATAAGCATCTTGATGAACATTTTTCTGTGACTTTGTGTCTGTTCTTTTGTTACTATAAGTAGGATTACCCTGCATCACTGTAGATCCCTAGTTTGAGCCCTTTCCCATGCACATAGTCTGCCAAGGCCGTTACTCCTGATGGGAATGTTGACGCATTTGCAGCCAGGTTGCTCTGTAGAAATGCAGAAAGCTAGATTACTACTAGTTCTTTTGGTACTCTGCATATATGATTGTACCTCCATTTACTCACCTGGGAATCCCTGTCATAGGCTGCCCAGTAATCATCTGCAGTTTCACAAATGTTGAGTTCTCAGGAAGTTTCAACTGGGCAAAAGAACAGCAGGGTCATTAGGAAATCTCAAGAGGAGGTACCTATGTTGATATATTCATATCCAAGCTTTGCTAGGCCAGTATCCACCATAGCATCAGCTGCACAGGCGAATCATCAACTTGTTTTCAGCATGCTGTGACTGATGCAAAATGCACCTGTTTTGTGCCAAAACAAAAGTAGCCTTACCGATTTGTCGAATGATCTCTTCGTTTATGTTCCGGTGGAAGTGATTCCAGCTATTCCACCTAAAAATTTATCATGCACTTCAGCACTTGTTGGTTCAAAATATGTCAGTGCAAATTGGATGAAACCATTAAAACGAAAACAGGAACTTAATGCAGATTGGATGAAATCATGAAAACAAGAAAAGGGTGAAAAAAAAACCCAGGAAGTCAAGATGGAAAATCAAGTCTCATCACCGAGGGTTAATAAGAACTGAAAAAGAACACAGGACAGAGGCTACAAGATGAATTACCCCATCTGGGGAGTCCGGCCAAGGCCATTCTCCAGCGCGGCTCTCCTCGCCACGGTTGATGACCTTGCCGACGGCCTGATCGCCGCTGCCAACGTCGATAGCAAGACCAAGAGGAAAGCACAGAAGGTCACCTTCTCCGCCATGGCTGGGCAAAGATGTGTGTCTCAGTGTGGCAAGTGATGTGATCCTTAACATCTACTACTGGTTTCTCCGAGGCTATTATAGGCCCCGTTCGCTTGGAGGAATCTGGATAAATTTGGAGAAATTTGTGAGAGGAAAACACTGTTCCGGATAAAAAAAGAAATGGATAGTTTAAGAGCACGCGAACGGGGCCTAGGAATTGGCCAGTATTACGACAAGAATCCGTTCACGAGTTTCGGATCCCACGGAGCAGGACAGCAAGGCCGAATTTGTTCACGAGTTTCGGATCCCACGGAGCAGGACAGCAAGGCCGGCGGAGGCCAGTTTACTTTGGGCACTCCACACGATGATGCAACCTCTATTTTGTCACCGATTGATAGGGGCCTGCATTTCTTGTCTTGCTATCAAAATCTTTGTGCAGATACAAAGGGCCACAGAGCTGTTATATTAAGCGCTGCTTGGCAACACCAGATTTTCAAAATAAATGTAGGAATAAGGAGAACATGGGATTCGGGATCCCACTTAAGTTCCTTCCTACATACTGGAATGCAAAACAAAACAGGAATTACAGATGAAGCATTTGAATACAATGTCAGAAAAAAATCAGAAATTTGAACGTGTTTTGGCATTTGAACAGTTTTAATTAACATATTTACATATGAACATTTCCGACATTTATCTTGAGGGAAACCTTTTAGATTTGTCACAAATCCACATCAATATGTTGCGTTGACCAACAGATGCCAGCGATTTGTGAATCCACGCATCTGAATGGCTGTTAGTAATTTTGGCAATCACTGCTGGAAGGAACGCAACCGCCGTGTTTTTTATGCTGTCTCCAGGCTCCCAAATGTTCTCCTCGTAAGTCTCGTGGGATCGCCGCGAGTAATTCTGGCCTGGGCGGGCGAGTCCAAATAGCGTTCCAGTGGAGGCGACTCGGGGGCGACACCCCCCGCCGCCGCACTCAGCGAGCTCCCTCGGCCACCGCCGCTACTCGCCGACGAGTGGTGGCGGCGGCCTGCGGTGCTGCTCAACAAGGCAGCCTCCGCACCCTTGCATCTCCTCTCTTCCCCACTCTCTCGCATCTTCTCTAGACCTCCCTTCTTCCATGGCAGATGAGGGGGCGTGGTGGCGTACCCGTGCCCTACGAGGCCAGATCCGGTGCCTAGATCCATGGATCTGCTCCCTTCGAGGCGGGCCCTGCTGCTAGCGCCGGTGGTGACGGCGATGGAGTGGCGGAGCTTGGAAGGCCGGCGGCGAGCACGAAGCTCCGGATCCGGGTTCTCTGGGCCCAGATCTAGCGGCGGCGTGGCGCACTCGGCTGGACGCGTGCTGCGCGGCGTCGTGCTCCTGGCGGCGGGCATGGAGTTCGAGCTGCACGGAGCTTCGAAGGCCGGCGGGATCCGTGCCCCGTGCCCCGGATCTGGCGCGTGGGGGCCGAGCGGGCGCGGTGGCGGCGGCGGGCGGCCAGTAGGCAGCCGGTGGCACGCTAGGGCACGTATCCGGTGCCCTCTGCCACGGATCTGGCGCGGCGGCGGCCGGCGAAGCGCGCGCGCGGCAAATGATCGGGCGACGGAGGCCCTTAGGCGCCCTTTGTCAGGCGCCGGGTGGCTAGCTCGGCTCCTTGTCCTCAAGCACAGATAGTAACGCCGGAGCGGCGCGCAGAGGGCGGTCCCGCGTGTGGCCGGCACTGTCTACGGGCAGGCGGGCGGTTCGATCCGCAGCTCCAAGGCGCGCTGCTCCGCCACGATGTGTTCCGAGTGATGGAGGTCGGGCTCGGGGACCCCACGTGGGTGACGCCTGTGCGGCCGTGGGGTTGGCGCTGGTGCGCTTCAACAAGGACGTGTTCGTCGGGCCCGTTCTCATGGGCCCCGCCGTCGGCGTGAGTGGCATCCGTGTCCTCATCGAGCTCTGGCGGCGCCACTGCGCGCGCTCAACGGCCTAGTGGACGGCATGCAGAGACCGCTGATGGACGAGCTCCACGCGCTGTGCGCGCCCGTGCTCGGATCCGCGCTCCGCGTCGGGTACTGCGGCTGCAAGGAGGTGGTGGATGCGCTCCTCGCCGAGGGTCTCGTCAAGCACCTCCTCTGCCTGAGACGACAGGCTATAATTCACGGGTTTAGGGAGCTTAGGCAAAAGCCATGCACGCCCCTGTCTGTGCGACCGACAGCGACGCCCTCCGTCGCCGTTTACCTCCTTGGAGGCATCGATGTACTGTTCCTCTCCTCCCGGTGAAAATCTAGCTCTAGTTATCTAGAGCCAGTGGTGGTGGTGTCAACGATGTTGTGTCCCTCTTCAGGGCGCCACTGTGGAGGGGCAGATTCTGGCTCCCGCAATCATGATGGCCAATCCGCGCTTGCTGCATCTGCTAAGAAGTTTCCAGGACGCAAGCCCTTACGGGCTTGGTGCTCTATTCATCGATGGTGGCGTCCGTGGACGTCACTCTCCTTCTTGAAGGCATCGATGCAAGCATACCCGCTTTCATGCGCGCCCCCACGCGCCCTTGTGCTCTCCTCGGTTGCTCTCCTCTCCATCTTGTTGTTGGTATGGCTACCCTGTTACCCCTTGGCCTCTGCAAACACTACTTGCTGTCTGGTGCTCGCCACCAACGGCTTGCTCTGTCGTTCTCTACATCACTTGAGTGCTTCGCCTCATCATATGCTGGGTGGTGGGGACCTTTATCTCCTTTTTGGATCTCCTCGTTCTCCTCCTGCCGACCCTTCCCCTTTGAGGCTTCCTTCCCCCAAATGGCGTTGGCGGGCGTTGGTTGGAGCTCAGATGCGCTCTTAGGCGATGCTACTCACGGCTGCCGCCTGTTGGCTCTGACTCAATGCCTTGCGGCTTCCTGGTTGCCGTTTGTCGGATCCCACTCAATACCTTACAGCTGCATGTGACGTGGAGCTCTTTGGAGTATGTCTTTGGTGGTGGCATATGTTAGGAAGTTGTGCTTGCAGTCGCTTCGGCCAGTAGACGGACTTGGTAGCTAAATCATCTTGTGTTTGTGGTTGTTCTTTTAAGTGTTGTATTCCCTCTCTCTTTAGTCCTTACCATGTACCTCTCGGAACTCTGTATTGGGATTGGCGTTATGCCCTTCCACCTCTTAGCTAGTCCGGCATCTGTGGAATTAAATTCAGATGGGGAGCCCCCCGTGTTGACCTAAAAAAAAATTCTGGCCTGGCCGCGTTGCTTAGCTTGCTGATGTCTAGAGGAGATTGCTGTTGTTAGTCGCGCCATTTGTTACCATGTAATCCTCGACGTTTTTTGTTCCTGTATGTACGTTGCCCAATCAGGCTTGCGGGCAGGCGTGCGTCTTGCACTCCAATCCGCCGGCCATGATCTGTGGTGAGTACTCCTTGTATTGGTCTCTGTACCACTCCTCTTAATGAAATACACGAAAGTGTTCACGTAAAAAAAGTAAGGTGTACTGGCCGCACCGAGGAATTCATGGTTAGCCAGGTACCATCTTATATTAGACTCAAAACAGCATAGTTAGTTTAGCCTACGAATCATAAGGCGAGCTTCTTTGCTAGCTTCAGCAGCTTTTAAGGCAAAACATGGTTGGCTCTGAATGTGCATGTAAGCTACCATAGTGTGGCATCTTGTCTGACTCTTTGGGCGCGTTTGCGACCCTGGCCCGGAGGCCCGGCTGCGCCCATGGGCTGCAACTTGCCATGTTTGTGGTCGTGGCCCGCGAGCGAGCCTGGCTTCCCAGAGCGAAAAACGCTCTCTCCGCCTGGCCCTCTGGAAACGACGAAAACCCTCGTTTCTTTGGAGCCGAGCTCGTGGCGGCGCACGCAGGCGATTTTGGGCGGCTGCGGGGTGGCTCACACGGGCTCTGGCGGGAAGGGGAAACTTCTTCGCGTGCGTCCCCGCTCCCCGCTCCCGCTCTGGCCGCCGCGCGCGAAGAGAAATGGCGGCGATTTCGCCAGCCTTTATATACTGGTTCTCACTCTCCACTCTCATTCTTCCACTCGGTGCTTGCTCTTCCACCTCCCTCGTGAGAGACCGGCGGTGAGTGGTGGTGCGTGGCGGCGGCGGCGACCTCCGGCTGGTTGTGGGTTCGGTCACCGGCGCTGAGGTTCTTCGCCGCGTCCCCACTCGGCTCCTGCTGGGACTCCATGGCGGCGGTGTTCCTCTTCTTCTCCGTCCGCATCTGCTTCGTCTTCTTCCCGATCTGCATCCTCTACTTCTAGATCTACCTCCTCTCCGTTGTTTGGACCCCGAGCCAAGGTGAAATCGACCCCCAATCTTCTTTTTGTGGTGCTTCTTGAAGTTCTTAGGGTTTCTTGTTCGTTGCTGTTCATGATCTGTTAGGGTTTCATACTTGTTATAACTGCTTCATGCTCCTATTAGGGTTACTTATACATTGTTGTTCTTGATCTGTTGGGACCGTGATCTGTTAGGGTTGTTGATCTGTTTGAGATTAATATTGTACCTTGCTGTTCATAACTGTTTGATGCAGTTGTTAGTGTTACTTGTACCTTGCTGTTCTTGATCTGTTAGGGATGTTGATCTGTTTCTGATTACTATTGCTCTGGGTTTTTTGTTCCATCATTGGTCGATGATGTTGTCCAAATTTAGCACTAGGAGGCATCACATACAAGATGCAGCCATGCTTTTGTTCATATGCATTCATATCACATTCATGTTGATGCTTAGCAGGGTACATTAAGCTGAAATCATGTTACATTTTTACATGCTTGTAGATGGATCTGTCTTTGAGCCATGACATGCTGTGTAGGAAGGGTAAAGATGTGAATTCTGTGGCCAAAGCTCTCAAGCTGTTCTGTGGGGAGGTTGTTAGCCCAACTCAAGTGTACAACCACTTGAGGAAGTGGAGGCAGAAATGGGCTAGGGTGAGCAAGCTGAAGGACCTTAGTGGTGCTCTTTGGGATGACCAAGCTCATGCTATCATGCTTGAGCAAGAGCACTACCTTGGCCACTGCAAGGTAGCAATTTGATCTCGTCTTTGCCTTGACTACCTACATTTGCCTTTCTTAAACTACAATTGCCCAACCCTACAGGACCATCCTAAAGATGCAGAGTTTCTTAACTTTCCTATTAGGTTCTACACTGAGATGGAGGCTATCTTTGCTAATGCCATGGCCACAGGCAAGTTTGCACTTGGGTCTGGTGAAGCCTTAGGGCAGAACCAGGCTGACAGTGTTGGTGCCAAGACTGATGGTCCTCCTTTGACCCACACCACAGTTCCCAGTGAATAGGGAGGGGATAGCAAGGCCACTGAACTGCTTCCTACCTCCTCAGCTGCTAGCCCAAAGAGGAAGAGAGGGAACTTCTCTAAGGAGGAGATGCTCTTGTTGACTAACATGTCAGATGCTGTGAACAATGTGGCCAATGCTCTTAGAGAGACTGGACCTACCCATGTTGATGCCAATCTGTACCTTGCTGTGATGGAGATGCCTGGCTTCAGTGAGGAGGCACTTATTGTTGCCTATACCTTCCTCCTGGACAACAAGGCCCAAGGCAGGGGCTTTGTGAACATGAGTGATGCCCACAGGGCCCTTTGGCTTAGGACCTTCCTGACCAAAAACTACTATGTGTAGTTCCACTACACATGAAGGGCTAGAAGGCCAGGAGGGGGTTGACTGTAGAGATGTATAGTTCCTCCACCCCCTCATCCACTCTCTCTTCTTTTGACAACAGGAGCTTTTGTGCAGTCTGCTTGTTCTTTTGACACCTGACCTTGATGGTGTAGTTTGCCTAGGAGGGTGGCTAACAATAGACAAGGATTTGGGAACATTTGAACCCTTGGCTGTTGGGCTGAATTTGGTATTGGAACAAACACTATTTGTAGTATCTGTTGGCTACTTTTTATTTGATAACTAGTTGCCTATTTGTGTTGTTTATGCCCTGGTGGTAAATGTGGGATTTAAAGGCCTATGATGCATAAAACAAACATGAGGTGGCTACCTTATTTTTGTTTTGATGGTTTTGTTATTGTGCTTTGTTCTTTATTTGCCTATCCTTTCATTCTACACTTATGCTCAGTTGTACTCCATAGCAACAACATCCTCTTGTGATGGCTGATGGCAGTGAGTGCAACTAATCAAAAGGTCTGTATGGTAGTGAATGCAACTGTTGTTTATTTGTCTCTTTATTTGGTTCTTACAATTCTTGGTAGCCACCAATGACTAAACAAGGAAAAAAACCACCAAACTACTAAGCTGAGGCTAATTTTTTTATCAAGTAGCCGATGATGTTCACCATCATTCAAACTAAATGGTCGACTGTGGCATGTCATTCAGACCACTTTACATGTTCTACATTTGGTTGGTTTCAGAGAATGCCTCCTTGCTATGTGGTCTTTGAAGGGAAGAAACCCTGAGATTTATTTTACATGGTATGAGTGTGCTAAGCAAGTGCTTAGAAAAGAAGGGGCTATCTATCAGAAGTACAACAACTATGATGATGCTCTTAGAGATTTTAATGCAAGGGTACCTCAAGAACCCTTGCTGCTACCAATTGATGCCCCTCATGGGGATGCATCAGCATCCCATGAACTGGTGACAGCTCAAGGTTCTGAAATCTATTCTCATTCACCTGGGCTGCAAGGCTGTTGCAAAAATGCTGTCATCTTGATCTTGTTTATGGTTGTAGTTGGTCTGTCACTCAAGCTGTTCATGTGCCACAGCTGTTGTTTTAATTAGGCCGATGATGACACAATAGGATGACTGCATTAGCTGGCTACATGCCACTTTGATTCATGTACTCTCTTTTCTGTTAACTTGTTGCCCTTCTCGGCTTGCCAAACTACTTAATTCTGCTACTGTTCTTAATTTGCTTCTTTGATTATGCAATGTAGCCGGCAATGTATATGTTGATTAAATGGAATTAGTCTGAGGCCTATGTCTTTTGTACATTTTCATTCAAAGTGTTTGCTTCTCTATTGATCATGCTGTTCTTCCTTCTCTTTGGGCCAGGCCGAGCACAGCAGCTGGCAAACACAATCTGTGCTCGGCAGTTGGCGTTTGAGCCCGGCTGAGTATTGGGTCACAAACACCAGCTCGCCTGGGCCGGGCTGAATCGGTACAGGTGCGCAAACAAGCTGCGTTGCAGCAGTTGGGGCAGGCCTGCCCACGCCTGGTCCGTTTGGGCTGGCTCGGCCGTGCTGGTCCAGGTGCGCACCTTTAAGTACCATCTAAACTTCTGCAGCCAGCTGTCCATACTGAAGAAGCACCTACCATGGTGGACAGGGTCTCACCCTCTTGTAGGCTTATATGCATGCAAGGCCTTCTTGAGCTAGTCACAATGGTGAGATTCTGTTGGCAGGGCGTCAGGGAATGCTCATTTTTTGCAACACCAGAGATAAGGAAGCTTGGTATAGTAATTACTTCTCACTTTTCACAATCACACATGCATTTACATTGAATGACCACACCACAATATGCTCGCTTCGTTTACTCCTATCCTATTTGTTCAGGTTAAGGCGTACAAGTAACAGTCTTTTATGAATTTGTTGTCCTTCTCCCTCTCCGGGACACCTGAATTTGATGATTTCGACAGGTACACACACCGGTGAGAATCGGTTCTAGCTACTTTGGAGTCAACACATACATCTTGCAAGCATGAGTAGCTACTGTCTCCTTCAGTTGTCCTTGCACCGATGATGTAACCTCACCCTGTAACCAAAACAAAATCACATACACAAAACAAGTTTGAGAATTCCTTGCAAGGAAAAAGATATATGCTATGGTAGATCTTGTCTATGATCAGAGAAAATGCATGCTTACGGTCCACAGATCATGAGCATCGACGACAGTGGATTCATTAAGACCAATGCTGCTCCAGCTGGCAGTGATGGATGCTTCATCAGACCCTCTGTTCCATAGAACAACTGCAACTCTCCCTCCACTTAGTGAACCAGCCCAAACCTGATGACAAACAAGATCATGAATATATTATAAACCATCTAGTTTGCTGCTACTCATGCCATTCTGCCTAGCTTGTTTACTTACTTCTTGGTCTCCATCTTGTAGCACTTTGCGCCCTTGCACCCCAAGCGCATCTGAACAATTCACCAATCGTTCAAGCTCACTATCATATCATCTCATATTTCATAATTGGAGAAATGAATGAATGAACACAGTTATTTCCTTTACCTTGATTAACCGCGATGACGTTATGGTTGCTGAGGATTTCCTTGGTATCGTTCCTCATCGAGCGGATGTCGCAGCCAATCAGAAGAGGTGCCTGCATCACGGCAGTTCAGCGCTATGGTCATGAAAACGAGCAGTTCTATTGTACTGATGGTTACAAATGTCATTACCTTGGCTAGAGCCCAAATGCTGAAATGGGAGCGGTACTCCTCTGTTGACATCCCCCCGTTTCCGACTTCCAGCATGTCCGGGTCTGAAAGCATAAATAAATAGCATCTCACTCTGCATTCAAGAAAAGGCAAGCCCAAAGTCTGTAAGCCTATATGATGGACTAGGCTAAGTGGCTAACCATTCCATCCACCAGGCCGTGCATATGATGCCCATTTGTCATTAGCATCAGCAATGGCCGTCATGCTGAAGCATTACAAGGGAAAAGATGCATCATCAGATATTGATATGACTAACAGCATGAGTAGTGAGTAGGGCATGTTCATGCTCCCAAATGGTAAAGCTAGCTTAATGTGTCAAGTAAATGAAGACAAGTTCCTTCCTTGTGAGCTTCACCAAAGTCTTGCACATATCGTTAGCACAGTTTTAGCTTGTCAAGGTATATTGTACTCATGTTCACTGATCTAAAAGAAAGGGTGTATATAATGTTCACCTTCCCCAGTTGTCCTGGATGTCACCGGTTGTTCTCCAACTGTTTCCTACACCACTTGCCCATGTTGCTGGGTCATTCACACCCCTACACAACAACATTTTCAAAACCAAACAACTGAATTCAAAGTTCGAACACAAAATTCAACATCTGTTAAAAAAGAGAGGAATAGTTACCATTCACAAAGGGAGAAGAAAATATCCCTCCCAGAATTCAGAAGTGCTTTGCTCATGTTGACATATCTGAATTTTGTCGTAAGCAATTTTTTCAGTCTTTCAAAGTAGCATCACAAGGAGGAACTGCTAAAATCTAGGGAAAGTCGATGCTCACCTTGGTTGCGGACTCAATCCCTGGTCGTTGCAGTTGTCATACTTCAAGTAGTCAACTCCCTTAGATCATTACAATAAATGAGAAAGAAAAAAAATCAGTTGTGGCAAGAAAGAAAGGCTTTGGTTTCAATTTGCACACGTTTAGAAAGTTTCAATCTAGATGGCACAAAATGTACCCAAGACGCGAAGGTTTTTGCATCTTGCTCTTCATATCCGAGCGAACCAGGCATCTGATTGCTGCATGTTCGTGACCTGAAAGGAGAAAGCATGTGTGATTTGAGAGGGAAAACCAAAACACAAAGCACGGAAATCCATTGAACTGAAGTGTATGGATTTTTTTTCATCCTATCTCTGCCAGCTAATTTTATCTGTCCTTCAGCTTTGTAGTTCTTAATTATATTTATTATGCGTACCCTGCATCACTGTAGACTCCGAGCTTGAGCCCTTTCCCGTGCACATAGTCTGCCAGGGCCTTTATTCCTGATGGGAATGTTGATGGATTTGCGGCAAGATTACCCTGGAAAGTAACAAAGCTGTTTAGCTTACCAATGGAGCAGAGTCTAGCCATTTCAGCAATGTCATGCTGATCCATCTAGTTTTACTTTGCTAAGCAACATAGTTGAACTCTTATGTACTCTTTATTCAACATATATAAATCTACGTTAATGCAGTGTACACCTGGGAGTCCCTAGCATAGGCTGCCCAACAATCATCTGCAGTGTCACAACACAAATGTAGAGTTCTCAAATTTCTTTTTTCAACTGAGAAACAGATAAATGAAAAGAGACAAGATAACAAATCTCAAGAGACTACCTATGTTTAAATAGTCATAACCAAGCTTTGCAAGGCCAGTATCCACCATCGCATCAGCTACACATACATATCATGATTTATGCAGGATTTTGTGATACAATCCCAACTGATTCAATGCTGGAGGAGTGTAGCCTTACCGATTTGCCGAATTATGTCTTCGTTTATATTGCAGGAAAAGTGATTCCAACTGTTCCACCTGAATTTGCCATATATTTAGTTAATAAGATATGTTTTTTTTAATAATGGAAGACTTTATTAAAAACTTCAAGGACAATACATCGAGTTGATACATAGTCTTGGAGGGCACTTCCGGCCTCTGCCTAACAAGAAGCATATAGCCAAGCAAACAAAATAGATAACACACACTCTAATGGCTATCAATCCGTAGACTCGACCGACATCCATGTACCTGTTGGTTCAAAAATAACAGATAAAAAATTTCCAGCACTTCTATGTTCACAGTGGTGTTTTGAAGTCTTAACTGGTGTCTATTGTGGTGTCATGCACTTGGAGCTGAAGAAGGCCTGAAACTGAGTACTGTATTTCTAGTGCTGATTGCTGACAGGACTCTGTTTGAGAACATTCCAACCAATGCACGCATGCTTTCTTACACGAATCAAGGAAACAAGGGCAAAAGAGAGATTTATACAAATAAGGATGTGAGTGCATCTTACATGTTTTTTCAACAACACAACACTGCAAATTAAAAGAAACAGACCTTTGATCTTTGAAAGTATCAGAGGAGTGAAAAGGGTATCAGAGGAGTGAAAAGGAACACAGATAGAACCACGAAATATAATCCAGATATTTCTGCCCCGTTCGCTTGGCTGATAAGCTATGGCCGAAAGTACTGTTGGCTGATTTGTTGTGAGAGAAAAATACTGTTCGTTGGCTAAAAAAGTACGGCTTATAAACCAAGCGATCAGAGTGTTCATAGAAGAAAAAAACTTGTCACCAAAAGGACACATGCATGTCCATGTACTTGAAGAAGAAAACCCTGAAAAATAGCACCACACAACTTGTAAGGCTAATAAAAGATCAGTTACCCCATCTGTGGAGTCAGTCCAAGACCATTCTCCAGGGTAGCTCTCCTCACCACCGCCACCGGGGACCTCTCCGGCCGGATCGCCACCACCGACGTCGACAGCAAGATGAAGACGAGAGCACAGAGGAGTGTTTTCTCTTCCATGACAAAGAGGTGGGCAGGGCAGGTAGCTGCTGCAAGAGTGATGATGTGGTATTTAATGTCTCCTTGTTAGTTTCCATGACGTTATGTTGTATAATATATATATATATATATATATATATATATAGCAATGGCCAGCATCAGGATAACACTTCGTCACGAGCTTAGCTTCCCATGGATTGTTTGCCGTGTAAACTAAGTTCTTGTTATTCACATATTTTCTGTAGCTAATAAGGGTTGATGAGTTCAACTGCTGTTATTAAGTGTAACCTTTTTTTTGGCATTGATTATAGCTGTTACAGTTGATGCAACTTTGACGTGTAAAAAGTTCGCCTGCATATTTGGGACAACCTTCTAACTGAAGATAATTTACTAACGTTAGAAAAATGAAGACGTAGACCCTACGACTACGAGAGTATGAAATGGTGCTTCTATAAAGATAAAAACTGCGGCATCGAACACACACGGACATTCATCGGTAATTATGGCGTTATATCTAAAAAAACTAACCCAGCACGAAAGGTCATTGAACCTAATACTAACAGGTCATAAGCACGATTGCCTAATTACTGATGCTAATCGATTTCCCTAAAAACACTCTCTGAGAATTATGTCACTTAAACTTTTATGAGCATCTCTAGCAGCCTACTTACACCCACTATTTATCCTATATTTAGATAGTAAAGGCTAATAAACTTACTCCAGCAAACTACCTATTTGACTACCTACTTTTATTGGCATAACAAATTTTCTGTACCACTGTCTACATCTGTTGGGCCAACAGACTACCTATTTTTTTCACCCACTGGCCTCTCTGTTTCCTTCGTCGAGTGCTGTCCGACCCGCACGCGCCCGCTGCCGTCCGCACGCCTGCAGGCCGCCAGCGCGGCGCGCGAGCTCCCCGGCGCGAGTTCCCGGCAGAGCGCGGACTTCCTCGCCGGTGCGCCCGCTGCCGTGCACCCGCTGACGTCTGCCTGCCCGGCGTGGCGGCCTGCCCCCGGCGCGGCTCGCTGGCCCCAGCGGCGGCGGGTTTGCAGACGGCTCGCCGCTGGCTTCTTCCCCGGCCGTCCGCAACTGACTTCTTCCTCGGCCGGCTGCTCCTTCCCCTCCCCAGCCAGCTGCCTCTTCCCAGCGGCCGGGGTCTTCTTGTCCAGCGACGGCAGGGGATCCTTCTTCTCCAGCGACGGTCTCCTACGCGGCCGTCTGCTTCCAACAATGCTCCTCCTGGCCGCGTCGTTCCCTCGCGACAGCGTTGTTTCCATGGCTGAGTTCCTCCATGGCACGAGGAAGAGATGACATACGGGCTCCACATGTCATTGGCTACTAAATTGAATTTGAGAGCCAATCCAGGTCGTTGGAGTTGGAAGTAAAATTTAGGTAGGATCAAAAATAGGTGGCTATCTAAACAGATAAATATGTAGTCTGATCTAGGTAGTGTCGCTGGAGATGCTTTAACATACTCGTATATGATTGTCTTGAAAATTACATTTTTTAGATGAATATAAAATATTCTTTCTCTACCTAAAATCTAGTACGCTGGATATGTTTGAATTAGTATTATCTTAGATGCAAAACGTTAAACAGTCGTCACCCTCCACTTAGCGTTTAGACGGACGACTAGGCAGTTTAAACAGTTGCACATACTGTAGCAGTAAATATACATATAAAATTATATTCTCTGTGCAAACTTTTAAGTGCAATTTAAGTTCATAGACAATAAATAATTATACATATAGTCATACACATAGTCATATAGACATCGTTTAAATAGCATCAAAATTTCTCCTCCGCAAGCCCAATTTCACCCACCCAAAAAATTCATTTAGCACCCAAACTTTCATAGTTTATTGCCTAACGATTGTTTAAATGCTTGTTTTGGTGTTTACACCGTTTGGGCACTGTTTGATGCCATCCTCCGTTTTTTTACCAGTTTGACCGTTTAGACGTGTCTAGTGTTTAATTCAGTGACTAGAGCCTAAACTGTATATGAACCCACAATTTAGCTTAAAATGCGTGTAGACGACCGTTTAGACACGTTTAGACGAACACTTATCTGCATTAATAATTAATGACATGTCTGGTATAATCAACATCATAGTGACAATATTGTTTCAATTAACAAAGTCCACTTGTAGATGGTGCTTATGCATGTGCAGGGGCAAAAATGTGAAAATACCAAAAACCAAGCACCATGATACAAGTAGAGCAATGGGGGGCATGGCAGGGCCACCAGGGCCCACCTAGTGGGGTTGGTTGATTGCACCAGTGGTCGCCCGACCTGGTCCCACTTCCTTCCATGTCACTGATCCATGCCCTGCCGAGGAAACACATTTTCAAGCCATCTCATGCACTGGTCCAAAGTCGGTTGCATCCAAGGGTTGGTATGGACTCAACCTTGGACTGGAGGGCCCACCACGGGTGTATGGACAAGTTTCGTGGCGCCAAAGCGACATTGTGCAACTGTCAACTACTGCGGAGCATGAACCCGCATCGTAGAATGGTGAGGTGGTGCATCCTAGGGTCGGTCGACCCTAGAGGGTCACCTAACGCCACTAGGTCTCCACTGACCTTCCACTCACTCCTACAAGTAGCCCCCTCCTTAGTGCTGTAAATAGGTGCTTGGCGCCACTTTGTAAATCATCTTCAACTGAAAGGAGAAGATCACTCCAAGGAAGTAGTGTAGTTGAAAGGTTCTAAATGGCTAGAGGGGGGTGAATAGTCTATAAAAATTCTCTACAAATACACTAGAGTAAGTTGTTAGAACACTAAATGGCTCAATGCAATTTCACTCTAGCTCTACAAGGGTTGCAAGCCATCAATTCCAACAATTCTAGTTGCTATGATGCACACAAGAGACTAAGTCACTATACACTAAGAGCTCTCAAACAAGCTACACTAAAGGGCTTCACTAGGTGGAACTAAACTATTAAGCAAGCTCTCAAAACTAGCTACACTAAAGAGCTTGCTACACAACTAGTCTGCAAAGAATGTAAGGGAGTAAGTAGGGTGATTATACCACCGTGTCGAGGAATGAACCAATCACAATATGAATGCTAAATCACTCACCGGAAGAGTTCCAATCACAAGGGACACCAAGATTTTTCTCTTGAGGTTCACGTGCTTGCCGGCACGCTAGTCCCAGTTGTGTCGACCAACACTTGGTGGTTCGGTGGCTAATTGGCACCACACCAAGCCTTCACTAGGCACCGCAAGAACCTACCACAAGTGAGGTAACTCAATGACATGAGCAATCCACTAGAGTTACCTTTTGATGCTCCATCGGGGAAGGTACAAGTCCTCTCACAATCACCGGGAGATAACCACGAACAATCACCAACTTGTGCCAATGCTCCTCCACTGCTTCAAGCCATCTAGGTGGCGGCAACCACCAAGAGTAACAAGAAATCCACAGCCACAACGATCCTAAAGGGCCACTAGATGCAATCACTCAAGCAAATACATTAGGAATCACTCTCAATATCACTATGATGATGAATCAATGATGGAGATGAGTGGGAGGTTGTCGATGCGGGACCCATAAGGTTCGCCACAGAGAAGAGAGAAGAAAACCTAGTCCAAATAGGATTCTCTACATGTAATCCTACTAGGACTAGTTACACATAATCCTACTAGGATCTCTACTTTGTAACCGACTAGGACTCCCGCCTCTCCTGGACTATATAAAGGAGGGCAGGGGTCCCTAGATCGGCACTTATAGAGGAAGAGACAACACAACAACATACAATCAATACAACGCAAAGGCTAACGCCGACTAGACGTAGGGCTATTACTCGACCACGGTCGAGGGCCCGAACCAGGATAAATCGACTGTCTCTTGCGTTCATCGTCGAGTTCCGCATACGCTGAAGCTCGAACATACTGTCCCGGGTAACCCCATGGCAGGCTATCGGTGGTGAAACATCGACAGCTGGCGCGCCAGGTAGGGGCTTTCGGTGAATTTGCATCCGAGAGCTCGACGGACCTCAACAACATGATTTTTCCGGCGGGATCAACATGCATCTCTTGTGCCATCCGTAGCAGCTCAGTTTCCCCGTGCAGATCCCCATCGTCCTGCATGGTCAACTCGTTAATTACTTCAATTCGACATCAACTCGGTCACGAGACAGCTGCAATGATTTCATCCAAGAGAGCCTGACGTCGTATCTAGACACGGCACATGGGCTGTCAATGTCGGGTGTTGCCACCTTCTCTAGCAACGCGTGTACCACACGAGTTTCGACAAAGCCGTAACATAATACGCGTGCTGTGGGAGTCCTACTTCTACATGAGTTCGACATCACGAGTGCTTGCACCGCTAGTCAGAATCCGGTGCCGAGTACTGTCCAAGCCGACTACTACAATAAGTCATGGAGAGGCACTTGCACGTTGTACGCATCCATCAAGCATGCCAATGCTACAGCAAGTCTTGGAGCCATACGTCTACAGCACGGCCATCCGTATAGCAAACAAAGGAGTTCTACTCGGCCACGCCACGGGAAACACTACCGGCGTACGAACCGAGCCATCTACATGCAAGTCGATTTCAAGCAAGACGACTCCAACATGTACGAGATCAACAGCCTTCAACGAGTTGACTGAGCCGGTGGCAAGCCATCTAAGCCGAAAGCAAGCTGTCCGACTGCATCAAGCCATCCGACTAGAAGCAAGCAGGCCACTACGACAACCCAGTAATAGCGCAACACTCTCCGAGTACTCCACGATGACGATGGATTCTGGCTACCACTACAACAACCCGCCGACTCCGCCGTGATGCTCGATGACTACCTCGACTACTACTCAGAACCAACAAACTAGTCGGTGACGAGTTTCGGATGCTCGACATGTCTACAACCAACTGCTCAGACGTGGTATCCAACTACTCATCCGAAGTACCCAGCAACTCGGCTGCGGCGATTGACAACTCGGCCATGAACCAAGCTAAGTGACGCTTTAATTTTTAAATACATTCCGGATATTATTCGTATGCCTCTGTGGCCATATCA